GCAGCGGCGCTGCCCCCGCGTGGGGCCTGGCCCTGGGAGCGCTCCCCACCGCGGCAGCTCCGGGGCTGTGTTTGCATGAAACCCTTTCCCTTTTGTAAACTGCGTTTTGTCGTTTTTGTCTCGTGCGGGTGGGAGAAGGGTCAGTCCTCACCCACCCCAGGTTTCCCCTTTGGGGGAATCACGCTCCACATTCACCTCCCACCACTCAGTGTTGGATGGCGACACACACAGAGGGGGAATCCACAGGGAAAAGTCAGCGTGCCCGATTAATCAGATGGGGCTCGCAGGGAGGCAGCAGCCCCTGTGCTCCGCTTTCTCTGCAGGAGGAAGGGGACAGGCAGCTTCCCAGAGGAAAGGACGGGTGGCCCTCGGCTGGACAGGGCTGCAGCCAACGCGCTGCTTCTGCCAGGGCTAGGGGGTTCTGAGAGAAAAGGGACCTCAGGACTCAGGCCTTGAAGAGCAGCAGCAACGTAACAAACAGCTCCCAGTGCTCACAAAGTTACCGCAATCACTCCAAACTTTTTTTTTTTCCTTGGAATGATGCCCATAGAGGCAGGGCCAGGGCCGCACGCAGCAGCCCGAGGAGCTCTGCATGGCAGCGCTGCCTCCTGGCCCAGGCCTGCTCCAAGGACGCGGGAGCAGCTCCCGGCGCGAGGGCCCCGCGGAGCCGGGGCACAGCACCGGGGCCGGCTGGCGGACGGCGCCGCGAAGAGGCGCTTGAGGAAGTAGAGCTGCAGCGCGCCGGAGAGGAGGATGATGCAGCTCTGGGCCAGCGACCAGCAGTTGATGTAGTGCTGGTTGGCCTCGAGCAGGAAGGAGTCGGCCCCTTTCCTCATGCGGAGGAAGTTGTAGAAGCGCCACATGTGGAAGATGCGGTTGTGCAGCCTGCGCATGCTGACCTGCGGCCCGGGCCACAGCGGGTGACACCCCGAGCTGCACGCGAGCACCAAAGCCCCCAAGGACCCTGCTCCAGGCTGGAGCTGCCCTGCCAACCCCTGCTGTTGTCCTCAGCCCAAGCCCAGCTGCATGTCCTGTTGCAGAGCCACCGTGGTAGAGGTGACGCTTACCTCAATGGCATCCAGGGTGTCGTTGAGCTGTTTCCTGTCTTGGAGCTGCTCCTGCTCCGTGTCGAGGCCCTGGTAGTACACACCGAAGTTGAGATAAACCTGCATAGCACCAAAGCGGTTGTGCTGGTTGTCCAGGCAGAGCCGGTAAAAACCTGCAGAGAGAAGCGGGGCTTTTAGTCCCGAGTGGAACAGCAGCCGATGGGCAGAACCCGGCTCCCCACCGCGCTCTTAACCCGGCCCTGAGGGACGAGGACACGAGCGTGCGGCCAGGTTGGTACTTCAGGACGTTTTGGCCAAGTTGTGGCTCAGAGACGACACTAGCTGGGGATTTTGCCGCCCTCAGGCTACAGTCATCACCAGAGATCACTGCCCACAGCTCTCCCAGGGCCGCGGGAGCAGCGTAGCAGGGACCTGTCTCCTGGGTTGGGAAGTTGATCTGTCCTCGGACGTGCTGAGAAGAACCGAGGCGGGAGCCGCTGGGGCCGCTCACGGTGGCCAGGACATTCCGGCTGCTCGTCACCCCCGACGCGCGCTGCACCTGGAGGAGGGAGACGCCGGGAAGCGGGGGCTCCGCTCCCCCCCGCGGAGCCCGTCCCGCGCGGCTGCCGCGTCGGAGCCGGTGGGACCGCCCTGCGGAAAGGCCGAGGGGGAACCCGCGCTCCTGCGTGAACGGGAGGTGAAAGGGGACAAGCAAATACGGCTGCATCCAGCTCCTTCCCCTCACAGTGAGGGGGAGCGGAGGCCGCTGTAATTCCCGCTGCCCCACCGCAGTGCAGAGACCCCACACACTCATCACGCCCTGCGAGCCCCCATGGGGGCCACGGGCCGATGTCTGGAGCTCTCAGCACCTCCGGCTCCCCCTGGTCACGCAGGCGTGTGAGCACGTGGTAGCCAAGGCCAGGCTTGCTGGCTTTGGCCATTTACAGTCTGAAACCAGCTATTTTAACTAAAAATAGGATCAACCGAGGTTGAAGGTTGCCCGGAGAACGTGTCCCCTGAGAGCAGCCCCTGTGTCACCTCAGAAATTCCCTGCTCCACCAGAGGAGATTCCTCCAAGAGGAGCCACCGCCACCCCGGCCTACAGACAGCCGGCCTGGAATTTGGCTGGCACTTGGATTTCACCCCACAGGGTTTTCACACACAGCCGAGCGCTGGCTGCACGAGCGGGCAGAGCCAGGACCGCCCGCCAAGGACATGTCCCCGCTCCGAGGTGGCGGCCGGCACCGAATCCGCCCCCGGGGCGGGCGCCG